CGTGGCCGCGGTCCGTGGCAGGCTGAGGGGCGGTGGCGTGGCCCGCGGGAGCTGCCCAGCCCAGCCAGTGGGCCCCTGGTCCCTGCTGCCGGCCTGGGAAGGCCCCAACGTGGTGTGCACCTCGCGGGCTATGACCGGCCTCACCACCCGGGGGCCTTCAGCGTGCGCATCAGCAGGTACTGCCCACACCGGCCTCTTGAGGGGACAGACTACTGGGGTGGGCGAGGCGCCACCATGTGGGGGGGCGGCATTGCCCCGTCCGTGCCGCAGCGGGTGTCCCCGGCCCACGGCATGCCGGAGGCTGTGACCGTGGCAGTGCCGCCAGCGTCTGCCCTGTGGCCTCCATCCTGTGGACGTCCGGAGGACGTGGCCAGGCGCCTGGGGGGAAGCCAGGCTCTGGGCAGGCGCCGGCCAGGTTGGGCTGGCAGCTCTGTCCCCTCCCTTAACTCTGCCCGGCTCTGAGCAGCGGGTGCCCGTGGACGCCAGGGCCTGACCTGTCCCCGCACCCACCAGCGACTCCGTGGAGGAGCCAGCGAGCTGCTGGACTGGGCAGAGAGCACCCCGCCGACCACCCAGCCTGAGTGGCCCAGGCTCTGCTGCCCAGACCCAGCAGGACTGGCTACTGCCTCTGGACTGCTGGGCCGGCGGCCCCGCTCCCACGCAGCCGGGCCCGCGCGGTGGGAGGTGCCTGGCCCCGGACACTGAAGTCCGCCCTCTGGGCACGTGGTCCAGTGTTCGGGGGCCCTGCCACGGCGGCGGCGCTGTGAGGGGAGCAGAAGTGAAGGCGCCTCACACCCCACCCCGACCGAGGCTTGTCTGGTCCTGCTGGGGCCACAGGCGGGCGTGGGGAGCGGGCCAGGCCGGAAGCCAGTGCCCCTTCGCGGCCTGGCTGCGGCACCCACACTGCCTCTCCAGGGGTCCTACCCCTCCAGCCCAGGTGTGCACTGGCGCTCACCGGCGCCTCTCGGTGGAGCGCGCTGGCCTTACAGGGGAGCTGGTGCGGGCCTGGCCCCTCGGGAGCAAAGCCCCCCAGGCGCCGCGTCCTGCGCTCCTGGCCTGTCCTGCCCCGGGGGCCAGGTGGCCACATTCGTGCACCCCCAGCCGAGTTCTGTTGACAGAGCTGGCAGTGAGGAAGCCGGGCCCTGGCCAGTCTTGAGTCCAGAGTCCGCGGAACAGCTGCGAACCTGACACTTCCAGTTCCAGCAGGCGGGGCGTCCGCGGGGCGGGGC